TTTTTTAATCAATATATATTATAAATAGAAAGCACAAAAGATAAACATGCATTCTGCAAATTTTATTTTATCAAAAATTTATTTTTTAATATATTACATTATATATATGTGAACATTAATATATATATATATATATTAAACTTTTACAAGAAATTGGTTTATTATCAGGAAGTATTTTTCGTCATATATGAGAATTAATCTCATTCGAAAGTTTGACAAATATCAAATAAATAGAAATTTCCTCTGAATTTCAATTTTAACATACAATAATTTAAATATATATTTATTTTATTAAAATATTTTAAAATATACTATTTGTACCTGTCTGAATGGCACACAAGTAGTCTTCTTGTATTCTGAGGACCGAACGAGAACTCCAATCGAATATTTTGGTGAGGGGGAAGTACCTGTAAAAGGCACTCCGAAGCTCAAGTCAGGACAGGGCACAGATATCGATAGTAATTAATGAACAGTGACGTTACCTCGTGGCATGAGCTCTTTATAATGACATTTATGGGCCCTGACCTCCCTGGGTCCTGTGGCAGGATTACCATATTAGGTAATACGCCTCTAATCGGCTTATTGGTGTGATTAACTCTTAATCCTTAATTAGGGGGAGTCCTTAACTCTTTATTAGTGGGAATCTGGACCTATGGATCATTTGGTTGCTAATCGGCCACCTAGTTCGGCCATTCGGGTGCCGATTGGGTGTCGGCTACCAGGTGGCCGATCGACCAAGCCAGGTAGCCGAATAGCCTTGCTAGTACACTTGCCCCCTAGCCTTGTGGAAGGGATACCTTTTGCAAGGGTATAGATGTGAGGTTAAGTGATGGGACAGTCGAAAGGTTGGGACAATCTCCAGCGTTGGATCTTGAAGATTAGGCAGTTACACTTTTCAAATTTTTGAATTTTTCCCGCCTTTTTTCCTTTGCTATATATAGTGATGAGTGGTGGGGTCTTTTACGCATATCGCTCTCAACCGAACCGTGTTGCCCGAGCACGTTTGAAGATCGACTTACGCGCGCTGAGTGACCGTTGTGAATTCGTATTGTTGGTAAGTCTGCTTTTATGGCTACTTCGTATGAAAGCTCTTCGGCTAGTGAGGCTCGGTCGTCATCATCCGAGGGGTCATCATCCAGTGCTTCGGGGCATTCGCCGAATGAAGACGAACGATCTAGCAAGAGTGTGAGCGCATCCGAAGAGGCCTCGACCAGCGGGAGTGAGGGGGTACCGATTAGGACTAGGCGTGTCTCAAATCGGCAAAGGTATGGGCCATCCGAAGTGCCGGAGTACAAATGGGTGAATGGAGAGGTGACTTCGTATTACTCGCGTTACCGAGATACTACAATGATTACCAACCTACTGGAGTACACGAAATTTTTATACTTTGACGTGAAAGAGGAGCCATACCCAATTGGGGTTCATGCGTGCCGAAACAACGCTTTTCCCAATCCCGACATGGTCTGCCTAGACAAGCAAGCCGAGAGGATGACGTCTTTCTATATTTATGATTTTCTTTTGAGAGACTTGAAAGTGACACTACCATTTGATGAGTTTACGATGGGAGTTCTTCAGGTTTTGAATGTGGCGCCGACCCAGCTTCATCCGAATAGTTGGGCCCAGCTGCAAGGGTTTAAACATTTGTGCCGATGTGTGAATATTAGGCCTTCTCCCTTTCTTTTTCTTTACTTTTATTCGTCTCGGCCGTCAGACTTGGCGAAATGGGTATCTCTTAACCGAGTGGGGACTCGGCAACTTTTGGATAGCTTCACGTCGTCCTATAAGAACTTCAAGGCTGGGTTCTACCGAGTGACCATTCGGTCGAACGGATGGCGTTTCTTCTTTGGTGCTGACGATAGGAGTTTGTTTCCTTTGTACTGGACACGTGCCCCTCGGCCATATGATGAAGTGCCGGACGAGCTTCTCACAGCCGAAGAGCAACAAAACGTCCAATTTTTGCTTTAACTTCCTCGGCGTTTGCCGACGAGGTCGCTGATTAACTTGGTTGATTCTTCCCGATGGGATTATGATTTGATAGGTAAGTGATTTTCTTATTTCGGCCTTAAGCTAAATTCATATTGATGTTCACTTGGTTTTTTATGCAGGAATCATGGTGAACAGCGGTGCCACCGAGTTCAATATTCCTGACCTCCTTGTCAGTTGGGTGTGCAACAGGTTAAGGCTTCCGGGGTTATGGGTAGCTCATCGGTTGCTCCATCGCCTTGGCCAGAGCAGGACAATCAGACCCCTCCTTCGCTGAATCGTAAGCATAAAAAGGGGAAGAAAGGGAAGGGATTGGCCGAGGGGAGCCAAAAGAGAAAAAATGCCGAGGAAAGGCCCGAGAAAACAAAAAGGTCAAAACAAACTGTGTCTTCACCAGGTGGAACGGTAATTTGCGTCCCTCCCAGGTTGATGTCTAGGGCCTTTTGGGGTGAAGGTATTTCTGCCGATTCACTTGTTCGGCCAGAGGCCTTCTCGGAGCAGGGCCGAGAGTTTCTGGGTCAGCTGGACGCGGTATCAAAGTGGAAATACTACTGTGAATTACAGTCTCGGTCATTAGCATTGGTGAACCAACTTGCCATGGGGCCGATCGGCGAATTGATGTAGTTGAGGCAAAGATTGGAGGAGGCTGATAAAGCAATAGCCGAAGCCAATGCAACGACCGAGGAGGCCCTAGCTACAAACCGCCAGCTTACAGCCGAGTTAGACGTGCAGAGGCGCAATAACGACACTCTTCGGCTGGACCTTCAAAAGGCAGTAAACGAGGAGAAGCGCCGAGCCAAAGAGGCCCAAGCCGAGCTGGAGAGGGTTAAGGAGGAGGCGAAAGATCATATTGTGGCTCAACATGAGGCTGGTTTTCGTCATGCTCTTCGGCAAGCACGATACTTCGGCCGTTTTCGCAAGGGCTTTGAGTTTGACATGACGAAGGAATTTTACCAGGGGTCATTTATGTCGTTCGGGGAGATGCCCGCTGGGGCTGTGCCCGATAGTGATGAGCCGAATGACACCCCTGAGGAGGAAGAAACTCAAGGTGCTTCGGATGACGAGGCTGAGGATGAGCAACTAGAGCGGGATGGTGAGCAAGAGGACAAGCCGGAAACTCAAGAGGATGCCCCCGTGAATCCTGATGATTAAATGTTTTGAAAGGCCGATAGAGCCTTTTTTTTGTATGAAAAGGTCATTAGAACCTTCTTAATAAAAGTAATGTTTTCCCTTTTATTCCGAACTAGTGCTGTATATTTTTGAATCGCTAAATCTGGGGAGTCTGCGCCAAACCGTATATTGCATAAGTTAATAACTCAATAATCCGTCCTAGGAAGAACCGAGTGAGATTGATTTGAGACAAAACCAAGTAACCTCTTTCGGAATTGTTTGCTCTTTGAGAGAAAACCGAATGGACCCATTCGCTGTTGCTTACTTTTTGAGAGAAAACCGAATGGACTCATTCGGCGTTACTTGCTTTTTGAGAGAACCGAATGGACTCATTCGGCGTTACTTACTTTTTGAGAGAAAACCGAGTGACCTCCTTCGGAATTTTCTCTTTGAGACAAAACCGAATGGACCCATTCGGTGTTGCTTACGTTTTGAGAGAAAACCAAATGGACCCATTCGGTGTTGCTTGCTTTTTGAGAGAACCGAATGGACTCATTCGGCGTTACTTGCTTTTTGAGAGAACCGAATGGACTCATTCGGCGTTACTTGCATTTTGAGAAAATCGAATGGATTCATTCGGTGTTACTTGCTTTTTGAGAGAAAACCGAGTGACCTCCTTCGGAATTTGCTCTTTGAGACAAAACCGAATGGACCCATTCGATGTTGCTTACGTTTTGAGAGAAAACCGAATGGACCCATTCGGTGTTGCTTGCTTTTTGAGACAATTCCGAGGCACATCCTTGGCCGAGTAGGGTCACTCGGGAGGGAAGCCTTTTTAGAGTGATTCCGAGGCACGTCCTTGGCCGAGTGGGGTCACTCGGGAGGGAAGCCTTTTTAGAGTAATTCTGAGGCACGTCCTTCGCCGAGTGGGGTCACTCGGGAGGGAAGCCTTTTTAGAGTGATTCCGAGGCACGTCCTTGGCCGAGTGGGGTCACTCAGGAGGGAAGCCTTTTTAGAGTAATTCTGAGACACGTCCTTGGCCGAGTGGGGTCACTCGGGAGGGAAGCCTTTTTAGAGTAATTCTGAGGCACGTCCTTCGCCGAGTGGGGTCACTCGGGAGGGAAGCCTTTTTAGAGTGATTCCGAGGCACGTCCTTGGCCGAGTGGGGTCACTCGGGAGGGAAGCCTTTTTAGAGTAATTCTGAGGCACGTCCTTGGCCGAGTGGGGTCACTCGGGAGGGAAGCCTTTTTAGAGTGATTCCGAGGCACGTCCTTGGCCGAGTGGGGTCACTCGGGAGGGAAGCCTTTTTAAAGGAATTCCGAGGCACGTCCTTGGCCGAGTGGGGTTACTCGGGAGGGAAGCCTTTTTCGCTTCGTATTATGCAGTTTGATAAATGACGAAGAGCAAAATGGAAGAGTTGAAGTGATATTTCATTAATGGGTGCCTCGTTAAAAACCTTATCGGCCAAAACCACTTTTCACTTTTTTATAAGGGGAGAAAAGACCGATCAAGGAAAAGAGTGCACCATGTGTGTACATCGGCTATTTATCATTACACAAATCAACTATAATAGGTCTTCAAGTGAGTTGAATTCCAGGTCCTAGGGATGACTTTTCCTGAAAGTTCTTCTAACTTGTAGCTCCATTGAGGAGGTTGTGTCGGATCCTAAATGGGTCGTCCCAGTTAGCTGCCAACTTTCCTTCTCTTGGGTTCTTCCTGGCTGACCCTTGCGTTCTCCATACCAAGTCTCCTTCTGAAAAGCTTCTCGGACTAAGATTTGAATTAAATCTTCGAGTCATTCTCTACCGACAAGCTTCGGCAACAATGCATGCTTTTTGGCGCGCCTCGTCCACCATGTCAACTTCCGCTCTTAGCGACACGTCGTTGGAGGCTTCGTCAAAATGTAATCAGGGAAAAGAGGGTTCCCCAACCTCGACCGGAATCATGGCATCGGTCCCATATGTTAATCTGAACGAGGTCTCGCCGGTTGTGGATTGGGGGGTACAACGGTAAGCCCACAGTACTTCTAACAACTTGTCTGCCCAAGTGCTTTTGGCATCCCCTAATCGCTTTTTTAGCTCCGAGAAGATGACTTTATTCGCGGCCTCAGCCTGCCCATTGGCTTGTGGGTGTTCAACCGATGTGAATCGATGTTTGATTCCCAAGTCTTGGATAAACTTATTGAGCTTTTGATCGGTAAATTGTAACCCATTGTCCGTTACTATGGAGTGAGGAATGCCAAAGCGCGTAATGATATTCTTCCACATGAACTTCTGAACATTGTTCGCCATAATTGTAGCAAGTGGTTCGGCCTCGATCCACTTCGTGAAGTAATCGATTGCCACTAGCAAAAATTTGTTCTGGCCTTTAGCGATGGGAAATGGTCCAAGTATGTCCATTCCCCATAATGCAAACGGCCAAGGCGAGCTGACGCTGTGTAGTTGTTCTGCTGAGGCGTGAATCAGATTACCATGTTTTTGACATTGGATGCATGTTTTGACAAATTGAGCGCAATCACTCTTCAGAGTCGGCCAGTAGTAACCGGCTCGTAGTACTTTAGATGCAAGGGTTCGCCCCCCCGAATGTGAACCGCAAATTCCTTCGTGGACTTCTCGCAATACATAATCGGCTTGTTCAGGTCCGATACATTTAAGCAGTGGGGTTGAAAAACCTCTCTTGTACAGTTTTGTGCCGATTACCGAGAAACGTGTCGCCTGAGTGCAGAGCTTTCTAGCGGCCAAGGCCTCGGGTGGCTCCTTGCCGTGCAGAATGAACTCGAGTAATGCCGTTATCCAAGGTGCGTTCGTTCTAGAAGTTTCTGGGTCAGAAACTGCTAAGCATTCGGTGATTTCCACGCTAGGTTGGGGCAGTTCCAAATGAAGGGTAGTTCGTAACTGGCTTTGTTTGCGTCCATTACTGGCTAATCGAGCGAGTTGATCGGCTCGGCCGTTGTTTTCTTGTGGTGTGTACTTGACTTGAACTTCTTCGAATTGGTTGCACATATTACGAAAACGGTGGTAGTATTTTAAAAGATTGGCATCCTTGACTTGGAAGTGATTATTTACCTGTTTGACGACTATTTTGGAGTCAGTCCAACAAAGAAGCCTTGCCACACCGACTTCATGTGCCAGCCGAAGGCCGGCCAGTAGTGCCTCACACTCAGCCTGATTGTTTGAGGCTTTGAAAGCAAAGTGAAGTGACTGTTCTAGAGTTACGCCGGTCGGTCCTTCCAGGATTATTCCAGCTCCACTCCCATGTTGGTTAGACGAGCCATCTACGTGCATTGTCCAGGTAGTGTTTTCAAAATGGCCCTTTGGCTGTAACTCATTGACAAAATTGGCAAGACATTGTGACTTTATAGGGCCTCTAGGTTCGAACGAGATATCGAATTCTGACAACTCAATGGACCATGCCATCATTTGGCCTGCTAATTCCGGTTTTCGCAATACTTTGGCAATTGGGCAATCTGTGCGGATGACGACTTGATGACCCTGGAAGTATTGTCGAAGTCGTCGCACTGTATGGACAAGGCCGAGTGCCACTTTTTCTAACAACTGATACCTACCCTCGGACCCTTGAAGCGTTCGGCTGATAAAGTAGATAGGTTGTTGGGATTCCTTCTCTTGCACTATCACGGAACTAATTGTCTCATGCGAGATGCACATGTAAACAATCAACTTCAAGTGAGGATCAGGTTTGGAGAGGATTGGTAGAGTACCGAGCCGTTGTTTGAGCGTTTGGAAGGCCGCTTCACATTCATCTGGCCATGAAAATTTTTTGACCTTCTTTAATAAGCCCAGGATTGGCTTAGTTACTTCGGCAAGGCATGGGAGAAAACGTGATAGTGCCGTAAGTCATCCGGCCAGTCGTTGTACTTCTTTGAGCGTTTGTGGGCTCCTCATGCCTATTATAGCTCGACATTTGTCTGGATTGGCCTCGATGCCTCTGGCCGATAGCATGTAACCAAGAAACTTGTCGCCTGCGATCCCAAAGGTGTACTTATCAGGATTTAAGCGCATATCATGCTTTCATAGTTGATGAAACACTTCCTTGAGATCGGCCGAATGTGCCGCCACGGTTGCCGATTTGACAACCATGTCGTCCACATAAACCTCCATATTGTGTCCGATCTGATTTCTGAAGATCTTATCCATGAGGCGCTGGTAGGTGGCGCCTGTATTCTTCAAGCCGAATGGCATTACTCTGTAACAGTAGTTAGCTGAATCAGTTATGAAGGTTATTTTGTCTTCATCCAGGGGATGCATCCTGATCTGGTTATATCCCGAATAGGCATCCAGAAATGATAAGATCATGTGACCGGCGGCACCGTCTACCAATCGATCGATGTTGGGTAACGGATATGCGTCCTTAGGGCACGCCTTGTTCATGCTTGTATAATCAGTGCACATTCGCCATTTTCCACTTGGTTTTTTAACCATAACAACATTGGCGAGCCATGTTGTGTATTGGATTTCCCGAATGAAGCTTGCCTTGAGTAACTTTGGTACTTCCTCTTCGACTGCATTTTTTCTGTCGTTTCCCATCTTCCTTTTTCTCTGAGCTATTGGCCTAGCTTCTCGGAAAATTGATAATTTGTGGCACATGAAACTTGGGTCAATGCCGGGCATGTCTAAAGGAACCCACGCGAACAGGTCTCTATTTGCCCGTATCACTAGGCTGAGCTCCCTTCGGTTTGCATCTGACAGGCCAGCACCGATAAAGGTGACTTGTGGAGTTTGCGGTCCAATCTGTAGCGGGATCTTTTCTTCTGTGGGTTCCACATGTTCTTCATTGTTCATTCTTGTATCGAGGTCCCAAGCCGAAAAGTGTGGTTCGGGAGATGCTGGAGTAACTGCTACATTGTGTACTCTCTTAGGTTTAGGGTGCGTCTCTTCCATGGGAGTTACCCGCAAGCTAGCGAAGTAACATTCTCGAGCTGCTTTCTGGTCAGCATGGATTGTGATGATCTTGCCTTTGTCGGATGGAAATTTCATTGTCAAGTGCGGTGTCGAGACGATTGCCCCCAACACGTTTAGCGATGGTCGTCCGAGCAGAATGTTGTAGGATGTGTTGGCATGCACCACTATGTATTTCACTTGAATTTCCCTATACTCCTGTTCATCAAAACAAAAACGAGTGAAAAGATTAATGTACCCCCTAATGCTTACCTTTTTGCCTGAGAAGCCGACTAGGGGATCGTCATATGGAACCAGCTCCTTCTCTGAGATGCCTAACTGCTTGAAGGTGTTCCAATACAAAATGTCTGCCGAACTCCCCTAATCTACCAATGTTTTCTTCACTATGCAATTGTAAATTTCAACACTGATTACCATTGGATCATCTTGCACGGGGTCAATACCTTGGAAATCGGCATCAGTGAAAGTTATAGTTGGTAGCCTCCGAGTAGGTTGTTTGTCCACAGCGTTGATTGACCGAACGGCGCGCAAATGTCTCTTTTGGGATGAAGAGGTCGAGCCTCCGCCGGCAAACCCACCTGCAATCATGTTAATGACTCGCCGATGAGAAGTGGCAGGTTCATCGTTCTTATCCCGTGACCGGCTTCGTTCACGCTGACTCCCCTCGTACCGATCTTGTCTGTGTCGGTCTTGGTGCCGAGGTTGGTATGTAGGTCGAGAACGCGATGAATTTGGCCGATCCACAAAACGCTGCAACTGCCCCTGCTTAATTAAATCTTCAATTTTATCTTTTAGTGCTGCACACTCCTCAGTAGAATGCCCATGATTGCGATGATACTTACAAGACTTGTTGGTATCGGCTCGCGGTGGAGTGGAAGCTCTCTTCGGAACTACCAGTACTTCGGAGGCAAGTGCTTGTTCTAGGACGATTGCCCGACTTGCATTCAAAGGCGTATACTAAGAATATTTCGGCCCGCGGGTAGGTCGATCTCGAAGTGTTATCTCCTTGTTGCGACCCCGAAATGGTTGCTCCCCAGTCTTTTCAGTTTTAGTTATGGTTTCGGCCCGGGCTTGACTTTGGAACTCAGCCAACTCCTCCATTTGCATATATTTATCGGCTCTCTTGCGTAGGTTGTTCATATCTGAAGGGGTTTTTTTGCAAAGGCTATTGACGAATGGCCCTGGTTTTAAAGTTGTTGTCAGATGATGGAGTGTTACGGCTGGATTAAGATCTCGGATCTCCAAGGCTGCCTTGTTGAACCGATCCATGAAATTCTGAAGTGTCTCCTTCTTATCCTGTCGAAGACTGACCAGCGATAGAGATGTCAGGGTATGGGGACGACTTGTTGCAAACTGGACTGTGAACTGAGACGATAGCGTGTTGAACGAATTGATAGAGTTCGGAGGGAGCCGAGTGAACCAACTCAATGCCCTGCCTTTCAATGAAGTTGGAAAAATTCGGCACAACGCAGCATCATCTGTAGTGCTTAATGTTACCTACATAAGAAAAATGTCAAGATGTTCATCAGGATCCGATGTACCATCATATTTATCAATTGGTAAGGACTTCCAGTTATCCATCAAAGGTAACTGCATGATAGAGGGTGTGAAGGGGTGTCAGTGGGATCCCACTGTTGCCAAGTCGATGGGACGTCCAACCGTAGGTAGGGCCGAATGAAACTTTGGCGGTGCAGCAGCCGAGGCATGTAGAGCCGAAGCATGGATGTCATGGGATTGGTATGATCCTTGTGTTTGAGTGTTGGTAGGCTGAGTAGGTTTCCACGAGGGGTCTTGATTTTTCAACGCCTCGTTTTCGGCTCTCAAAGCCGAAAGTTCCTTTACATCCTTCTCCCGTTGCTGTTTCATTGCGGCCATTTCTTGCTTGAGTAGACGAACGGTCTCAGAGAGATCGGTTTCATCTACAACTTCAACATGTTCATCTTCAGTCTGGTGATCTTCTACGTTCATTCTCCTTGTCTTCGTCATTGCTTTACTTTGTTACTTTTTACAACTGTCTCGGTTCGGGCCCCACGGTGGGCGCCAAAATGTACCTGTCTGAAGGGCACACTAATAGTCTTCTTGTATTTTGAGGACCGAACGAGAACTCCAATCGAATATTCCGGTGAGGGGGAAGTACCTGCAAAAGGCACTCCGACGCTCAAGTCAGGACAGGGCACAGATATCGATAGTAATTAATGAACAGTGACGTTACCTCGTGACATGAGCTATTTATACTGACATTTATGGGCCCTGACCTCCCTGGGCCCTGTGGCAGGATTACCATATTAGGTAATATGCCTCTAATCGGCTTATTGGTGTGAATAACTCTTAATCCTTAATTAGGGGGAGTCCTTAACTCTTTATTAGTGGGAATCTGGACTTATGGATCATCTGGTTGCTAATCGGCCACCTGGTTCGGCCATTCGGGTGCCGATTGGGTGTCGGCTACCAGGTGGCCGATTGGCCGAGCCAGGTGGCCAAATAGCCTTGCTAGTACACTATTTTTTTTTTATAAAAAAAGTATGTATACATAAAATGGTAGTGGGGTAAGTGCCCCTGTGAGACCCCTAATTCCTTTTCTTCCTCTTTTCACTCTCACTCACGCAAGCCTCACTCTTTTACTCTAAACTCTCCCTCTCTTTTCTTCTCACCTTGCTGATTCACTTTTTTTGGCTTCACGGTGGTGGTGGGGAGTAATTCAGGTTGCTAGCTGAGCATTTGGAGTTCCTCTTCTTCCCCCACTCTCCTCTCTTCTCTTGTTCTTCTCTTCTCTTTTCCCGGAGCTCGGAATCTTCTACTGAGGTAAGGGAAGTTAGGATTTTGTGCTAGTTGTTGTTGAGTGAGTTAGAACTCACGGATGGTGTGATTCTTAAGGAATTGATGGTTGTATTTGAAAAATTTTCGTTTTCGGGGTTTCGGGATTTGATGAAAAATTTTGGGGTTTTGATGATTCGTGGTTGCATGTTGAAAAAGAAGGGCTTTTTGTGTTGATTGATGAAAATGTGGTTATTTGGATGGATTGCATGTGCTTGGATTTCTTGTTTTTGCAGGTTGTTGTTCAAAAATGGAGGAGGGACTGTGTTACGATGGGGGAGTATTATTTCAGCAAGCCTCTCCAGGCTCAGTTATTCTGTACAATTTATTGTTTTTCTGAATTTCTGCCTTTTTTGTTGATTTCGGATTTTTCTGTATTTTTGCCTTTTTTGTTGATTTTTGGCTTTTTCTGTACGGAAATTAAAGTGCTAAAGAATTTGGATTCAAAAGTGGGAAATTTCATTTATTAAATAGAATGAAATTTGTACAATGGAAATGAAGAGAAGTGGGGCACAGCCCGATCAATCAAATACATAAAAAGCAAGAAAGATAGCCGGTCTTCACTCCTCTGCCGGCGGATCCTGTGGAGGGTCTGGGAAGCGACGATGCAGCCAGACTGACAGGCTGTCAAAATCCCGAGTCAAAGGACTCAGATTTCCTCAGTGGAAGATAGCTTTCCAACTCAAGCGAAGAGTGAAGCTAAGCCTGCAGAGGCTTTCTAAATAATACTCTGGGATACATAAAATCCTCAATTCACATTCGCCTACTCAGAGGCACTCCTCCAAAAAAGGAAAATCCAAAACATCAATAACCATTCCCCAAGCGGAATCCGGCACTCAGCCGAACACTGAACATCAAGATCATTCGCCTACTCAGAGGCACTC